ACCCTGAACACACAGATATCTATGGGATTAAAGGCGTGTGCCACCACCGCCACACTCTTGCTATGGCTCTAATAGCTCTGACCCCCAGACAACTTTATTTATTAACATACAATCAAATTAATATTTCAATACAAATCAAAATAATATTTCAATACAATTAGATTACCACCACAGAGATCCGCCTGCCTCTGCCTCCCGAGTGCTGGGATTAAAGGCGTGCGCCACCACCGCCCGGCCTATTTTCTATCTTCTTGCCTCCCGGTTGGTAAAGGGTGCCAGGGTCCTACTTCCTGCATTGCGACACCTTCCTCTTATCTGCTGTACCCCCTCTAGGCTGTTGCCCTGATTGGGTAGGCTGTAACCCTAAATCACCTACCTGTTCCTGCTTCCTAACCAAGCAAACTTTCGTTTCCTTGGGGCAGTGGATATCAGCTACTGTCCTGAGAAAAAGAAAAACATAGCAGGCATGAATTCCCACTAGGGGGTAAATGGTTAAGAACCTCTGAACCCTCATAGTGTATTCTCATGTTAAAAGAGGTTAGCTGGCTGGCTGTGGTGGCTCATGCCTTTAACTCCAGGACAAGGGGGGCATAGCAGAAGTGCCTTGAGTGCGAGGCCCCCCTGGGCTTTCTAGTAAGTTCCAGGTCAGTCTGAGATTCAGAATAAGAGTCTAACTTAAAGAATAACAAAAAATAAAAATAAAAAAACAAAAGCCATAAAATACGTTGGTTGTGAGACTTGAAAGCTGTGTGGCAGAATGGGGATGAAAAGTAGGGAGGTAGCGGGGCTGGAGAGATGGCTCAGCAGTTCAGAGTGTGTACTGTTCTCACAAAAGACCTGAGTTTGGTTCCCAGTCCCTACATCTATCGGTTCACGACCACTCCATGGGATTGGATACCCTCTTCTGGCTTCCACAGGCATCTGCACTCATGTGCACATACCTACCCACAGACACACGCATACACATAACTGAAACAAAACAAAACAAAACAAAACAAAACAAAACAAAACAAAACAAAACAAAACTAGGGATTTCAGACTCAGACTTTTGGGTAAGAGTACTTGCTGTGCATGTCTGCAGACCTGAGTTTGATCCCTGGAACCCACCATGGGAAGAGAGAACACTTCTCCTGGCCTCCATCCATGTGCCACTGCATGAGCACCCACCCATGTACAGCAATAACAAGTTTTAAACAAGTTTTTTTTTTTTTTTTTTTTTTTTTTAAAGATTCAGATGGGGTGACTCAATCTGTAATTCCAGCACTCAGGAGGCAGATGCAAGAGGATGGCCAACCTGGGCAACATAGTGAGTTCCAGGCCAGCCTGGGCTACAAAAAAAAACAAAAACAAAAACAAACAAACATGGAAAAGATATCTCAGAGGGTAAGGGCACTCAATATCAAGGCCTAGAACCTGAGTTTGAGCCCAGAGCCTGCATGATGGAAGGAGAGAACCAACTCTCTGAAGTTTGTCCTCTGACAATCATATGTACGTTGTAGCACACACCTACGCACGCAAGTGAGTACACATACTAAATAAATAATTTTATTTTACAAGTTAATATTTTTAAAATTCAAAGGAAAAAAGAAAGAAAGAAAATTCAGACTTCATCCACATTTGTGGAACTCTCGGGCGGTTAACTGCCTGCTGTGTTTTTACATCACAGTCAGTTGGGAAATTACCCTTTCCTGGGAAACCCAGGATGGCCACAGGAAAGACATTCCCACATTCACACTCGGGGGGCCTCCTCTCAGGGGAGGAGCTGGCCCTCTGCCAGCTTGCCTCTGAGAAGCAGGGTATGGTGTGTAATCCTGCACATGGAGTCCCCCACCAGTCGTCTCTACCACCAAATGATTCCTTAATAGGTTGACAAGCTTCTTCACATGCCTCTAAGACGTTAGAACAGGAAGAAAAAGACGCAAGTATGGCAGAACAAAATTTGAAAGGCCGTGTGGTTCCTATTCAAAGAGAGATAAGACGTTGAACCTGTGAAAGGAGTCAGGGTGTGTCTTTGTGTGTTGGAGCTACAGTAACAAAATACCATGGGCTGGGTGTTCCTCATCGTTCTGGAAGTTGGGGAACTCAAGATCAACATGCTGGCATGTGTTGTCTGTCGGCTCCTTTTTCTGGCTCATAGGTAATATGCAGCTCTCTGGTGTCTCTCTTACAGTGTCACAAATCCAGCTCTTGAGGGCTCCCCTGCCATCATCTGCTCACCTCCTGTACTACGCATGTCCCTGACAGCTGCGACCAAATGCCTGACAAGTGGGACTTAAGGACAAATTTATTCTGGCTAATAGTTTCAGGGGACACAATCCATGCTGTGGTGGGGGAGGCATGGCAGCTTGAGCCAGAGGCAACCGGTCACATTGTGTCCGTAATCAGGCAGCAGGGAGCTATGAATGCTGGTGTTTGGCTCGGCTTGATTCAGCCCAGGACCCCTGATTATGTCATGGTAACTACCCACAGTTAAGTCAGGCTTTCCTACCTGACTTAACCTAATCAAGAAACTCCCTCACAGATGTGCGTGCCCAGAGGTCTATTTCAAAGGTGATTCCAAAGCTTGTCAAGTTGACAATCAAGACCAACTATCAACTTGGCAGAATTCTACCTGACTCTGCCTCCTGGAGTGCTGGGTTTAAAAGTGTGCACCATCACACCTGGCCAAATGCAACTTTTCAATAGCCATATTGACATAGCATGCAACAACAACAACAACAACAAGAATTTAAAGATGGTGTGATGACACCTACCTGTGATCTTACCATCCAAGAGCCTGAGGCAGGGAGACTATGGTGAGTCTGGGGCCAGCCTAGACTACATACTAAGTCCCAGGCCAGATGTGGGGCTAGCCCGAGTAGGGACGAATTCCCTCAGGTGATGTCAACCGCATAGTATACTTTGTGTCGTCTGGCTATAAGGAACCATGAATAATTTCTGAACACTTATTGGCAAGACTGTTTGTCTGCAATGGTATGGATTAGTTATTCTGAAATTACTCTCTGAGTGTCTTGTACCACAAAGCAGTTAAATGCAGAATCAAATTATGAATAATGGGAGGCAGACTTCATTACTAGGGGAGGGAGTAGTAGTACACATGGAAAAAGGAAAGCCAGCAGGAACACTGTGGTCTTAGAGAGCTTGGTAGGAGTTCCCCGTGTAGGTGTCTTATGACTAGATTTGCTCGTTTAGAAATACACTCTGGAGTATTTAGAAGTGAAGGGGCATCATGTCTACAGCTGATTCGAAAATGGCTTAGGAGGAAACAAAATCTGGTCATTGGGGAGGGATTTGCTGGGAGGGTGAAGAGGCTCAGAGAGGCTCACGGGGAAATATGAGCAAAGTACATTCTATAAGTCTGAAAAACTAGATTTTTCTTCCTTAGAGGAGTTAAAGAGAGAGACTCTAGAGGCCAAGATTACATCAAGACATTTAAAAGCTGCTATTCTTGCCAGTCTTCTGTGAAGCTAAACTTTCATTTTAAAACTAGGCCTTGTATAGCCCAGGCTGGCCTGGTTCTTGCTGTATAGACCAGACAGACTGGCCTTTGCTTTCTAAGAGCTGGGATAACAGATGCAATCACTACACCGAACCTTTAAAAACAAAGTTTTGGGTGGGCCTGGTAGTTCATAACTGTAATTCCAATGCTCTGAAGTGGGAGACATGAGCCCATGGTCACCTGCTACATAGTGAGTTCAAGGCCTGTCTGGCTTTATATGACACCCTCCCCAAATAAGTGCTTTGTCAGCTTGGTGAGGACAGTTTGGTTGAGTAAGGACAACAGGTATGAGCCTTGTTATAACAGCTGAGACAAGGCAAGGAGAGGCCAAAGTTTGGGGGGTGGGTAGGAGGAAGGGTACAGAGATGTGGGGTGTGAGGTCCTGAACTTCCAAAGATGAGAAGATGTTGACAAGGAAGTGGCATCTCCTGGTCTGACTGTCCATGGTGCCTGAAGCGCCCAGGGTTGCATAAAAGATTGAACAGGTGTATGCTTGAGAGTGTGAGGATCAGGAGATCCTGGGCGCTGGGGCTTCCCCATCCAGGGGCTACCCTAGGCCTCACGCCCTGGGGCGCAGCTCTGCTTCCTGACAGTCGGTAAGGCCACACAGTCGCGCAAACCAATCGAGAAGGGAAAGTCCAGCGGGCGACGTGTCAAGCCGCGGACACGGCTGACTGCCTTGGACCCGGTGGTTAAATTACTCAGGCTCAGCCCACGGACCACTGAGCAAACCCGACAGGTGGCCCCCGTGACCCTGCACCGCCCGCGCGAGCAGCGGGCCGCGGCGCCCCCGCGAGGGCAGGAGGGGAAACGGCGGCGGCTGGGGGTTGCCTGGCACTACATCGCCCTCTAGCTACTGTCAGTTCACACTGGGAGCGGTAGCCGCCGCTACACCCTGCAAAGGCTGCGAAATGGGGCGGGGCCTTCAGGGGAGCGGGGCGGGGCCCAGTGCTTGGGGGCGGAGCCTTAGGAGCAAAGCGTACGGTTAGGGGGCGGGGCGATGGCCGAGGGGCGGGAAGGCGCGTGGCCCGTGGGTGGTGCCGGCGGGGCATCCGTGACTGGGCGTGGTGCGCCGGCGCGAGACGCATGCGCACAAGGACCGCCGTGGGAGCGGGAGGGCGGCCTGAGGGCCTGTCCGGGTGAGGGTGGTGCGATGGGACCGGCCGGGCCGGGCTGGGCAGGGGAGGAGGGGGAAGGTCTTGATCTCCGGGGAGGGGCGGATGTGGGAGGGATGGTTGCAGCGGAAGCAGAGAGGACCTCGGGGGCGGGATGTCTCCTGGGAGCGACGCCGGTCTTTCCGGTTGCTTCCCGGGGAGAAGAGGCGAACCCTGAGTTCCGGGAAGGCCCCCACAACTCACCCGAGCGGGGACCGGGTGGTGTCTGCAACCAGCTAGCATGTCTGACGAGACCCAGTTTGCGTGGGGTGCGTGGGGGCATCCTAGGCCCCCAGCCCACGGCAGTGACTCTAAAATGCCTCCCTGGGCACTTGTTCAGCGTCACCGTCCACAGTGGACTAGGACGCGGAGGAGGCCTTCCGACCTCCCACTCGGCTTTTTTTTTTTTTTTTTTTTTAATTAGGATGAAGGCGCCCTCCACACCCCTTTGCCAGACATGTCTGTCATTAGAAAAATTTAAGTGGAAAAAGCAACTGGAGACTTCTCCTTTATAAAGGTAGGTAGACTACAGGGGTTAGGGTTAGGGTTAGTTTGTCCTATATTTCATCCTAAAATTTCAGCCCAAATGTATAGTAATGAGGATGAGCTGCATTCACACCTTAGTCTGTAGAGGCCTTTTTAGTCTGGAATTTGCACCACCCTCTTGAGCTCCAGAATTCAGAAGTTAAGTGAGCACATGCGTTAGCTCGCATTTCAAAATCATTTGTCAATAAACTGAAAAGGCCCTTAGGTGATTAGAAAACACAGACTGGACAGAAATCTTCATCCTTTTTTTTCTTTTCTTACTCAGAAAGCCTCGTGGTGGAGCATCTGCTTGACCATATCAGTGGGAGGATGAAGGTGCCACACAGAGACTCGATATGAATGGAAAAGGCCCGTCAGCGTGAGTCTGGCGTTGTGGTGGTCATCTTAGGTCGTCCCTGGTGTTTCATGGCTGACATGAAAAGCTTAAGGGGCTGAGATGTATCTTGCCAACCTGCAGTTAAATTATAGAATGGTCACTTGCATTTCTCTCTCCCTCTCTCTCTCTCTCTCTCTCTCTCTCCCTCATTAATTGAATACCCTTGAGTAACATTGGAAGGGATGAGATGTTTGTGTCCCAAGTGAGTCAGCTCACAATATTGTGATTATTGTTAAATGACAGAGGACACTGGACATCAAGTTAGGCTCTCTGGGTCACCACTAGTGTTTGTTCGTTTTTGTTGTGGTTGTTAGTTACTGCTTTTGAGACAAAATAGTTCAGGCTGTTTTTCAACTTGCAGTCTCCTGAATGTTGGGTTTTCAGGTGTCCCCACCATGCCCAACTTATCAATAGGGTGGGAGCAGCAGGTTCTGTAAGAGATGGGAGGATGGATTGAATGGTTTTCCTTTTAAGTCCTTAGATACTCTTCCCAATAAACTGATGGAATGTGGAGAAACCTTTAAGTGTGACATCTGAAGACATTAGCGATCAGTAGGTCACTTATTCTGGAGAGACACTAGAGGTGTATTTGAAGAGTAGTCCTTGGTATGGATGGATGGATTTTGTGTCTGTCTGCTCATTTTTTTAAATTTCATTCTCTCTCTTTTTGTAGATGAAGGTACTACAGCACTCTCAACACACACTAAAAACGGCTCTCATCTCTCAGAACCCAGGGCTTGTGTCACAGTATGAGAAATTAGATGCTAGGGAACGACGTTTGTTGAGTGAAGCCTTCCAGCCGTCCAGTCATCTCTTTGGACCAATTACTGTGCATTCACAGTCAGATTGGATCACCTCCCACCCTGAAGTTCCCCAAGATTTCGAACAGTTTTTCACTGATCGCCACAGAAACATACCCTGTCCGGAAAAACACATTATCTATATGCAGTCTATTGGTATGTACTGGGAATGTCATGGTTGAGGTTTGGCTTTGCTGTGGTGCTGTCCTTGGTGGTACTTTGGGCAGTTGACCAAATTCAAGTGAGCAGGGTTTTTGTTTTTGTTTTTTTTTTGGTTTTTTGGGTTTTCAAGTCAGGGTTTCTCTGTGTAGCTTTGCGCTTTTCCTGGAATTCACTTTGTAGACCAGGCTGGCCTCAAAATCACAGAGATCCGCCTGGCTCTGCCTCCTGAGTGCTGGGATTAAAGGCGTGTGCCACCACTGCCTAGCCTCAAGTGAGCAGTTTTTATGTTTTTTTGTTTTTTTTTTTTTTGAGACAGGGTTTCTCTGTGTAACAGCCCTGGCTGTAGAACTCACTTCATAGACTAGGTTGGCCTTGAGCTCAAAGAGAGAGGTCCACCTGCTTCTGCCTTCCTGAGTCCTGGGTTTACACCACCACACCCAGCTTAAAGTGAGCAATTTTTTATGGCTTCTGTTTTTTCTGTTTCTTTCCTTCCTTCCTTCCTTCCTTCCTTCCTTCCTTCCTTCCTTCCTTCCTTCCTTCCTCCCTCCCTCCCTCCCTCTCTCTCTCTCTCTTCTTGTGCTGGGTATGGAACTCAGGGCTCTATGCATGCTAGGCATTTTATCATATGTGATAGCTAAAAGTATTGTTATTGTGTGTGTGGCGTGGGAGGAGACACACGTGCAATAGGACAGCTTTTGGAGAGCTGGTTCTCTGCTTCCAATGAGGATGTCACATGTGCAGCCAGCACATCTCCCTGCTGCGCCGCCTCACTGGCCCTGTGCATACCCGCTACTGATCCTCCTTCCTGTGGCAGGAGCTTTGTAGCCAAACTGGCTTGACAGTGAAATTCTTTTCTTTTGACTTCATGCTGTCATCAGTGACCGATTAAAAAGCATTGAGGTCTTAGAGTGGATTCTGTTTCTAATTCCAGAAAGTGTATAGAATGAGGTGAAGAATGTTTCCATCATTTTTAAAGTGTGTCTCAATTTCCTACCCTTCCCCCATACTACAGGCTCTCTCAGCAACACCAGAGTTATCAGTGAAGAATATATTAAATGGCTCAAGGGCTACTGTGAAGCATTTTTCTATGGTTTGACTGTCAAATTCTTGGAACCGGTTTCAGTCTCTGCCACCAAGTGTTCCTTTAGAGTGAACGAGCACACCCACAACCTACAAATCCATGCAGGTAAAGGAAGCTCCTCTGCAGCTGGATTGCAGCAGAAAGGGTGGGTGGGTGTCATAGATATTATACATGCATTTCTTTTTACATAGGGCACATCCTGGCGTTCTTGAAAAAGAAGAAACCCAAAGATGCCTTCTGCATCGTGGGGATAACAATGATCGATCTTTACCCACGGGACTCCTGGAATTTTGTCTTTGGACAGGCCTCTTTGACAGATGGTATTCCTTTTTGATATTGTTCAGCTTGAGGGTATTTGATGATATTCAAAGAGGGGGAAAGAGAAATCTAACCAGTAGTATTTTCAATAATTAAAATTGTATTTTCAGTGAAGTGCTATGCATGCCATAGTGGGAAGAGTGCTTTGAAAGACTGATGATATGGGTTCTTTAGGAGGTCACATACTCCCTATCTGACCTTGAAGTAATAATGCTGTTCTCACAGAGTCATTTGGAGATCATTTGTGTAACAGTTCTTATCCATAAATAGTGTTTGAGACGCCTGGTACATACTCAGGCATTCAGCTCAATATATGGGGAGTTTAAGTTATGTATCAGCAAGACAAACAACTTAGGATTTGAGCTATCATTAACATATAAAACTCTTGCTAATTCTTTTTGTGTGTGTGTGTGTGTGTGTGTGTGTGTGTGTGTGTGTGTGTGTGTGTGTGTGTGTGTTTCTGGGGGGCCAGGGTGTGGCATGGTACATGGCATTGAACCCAGGCCTGGTTCAAGGCAAGGGCTCTACCACTGAATTACAAGCATCCTGTCTTAGTTCGGTTTTTGCTGTGAAGAGACACCTGGACTACAACAACTCTTATAAAGGAAAACATTTAATTGGGGCTGGCTTGCAGTTCAGAGGTTTAGTCCATTATTGTCATGGCAGGAAGCAAGGCAGCATGCAGGCAGACATGGTACTGGAGAAGGAGCTGAGGGTTCTTACATCTTGACTCATAGGCAACAGGAAGTGGTCTGAGATACTCGGTGTGGCTTGAGCATATATATGAGACCTCAGAGCCGGTCCTTATAGTGACACACTTCCTCCAGCAAAGCCGTACCTCCCAATAGTGCCAATCCCTATGAGCTGTGGTAGCCAGTTACATTCAAACTAGCACACATCCTTAGCCCTTGCTAGTTGATTTTGCATTTTTGATCAAGCACAGATAGAATAGCCATAAACAAATATATAATTACATATTTCCTTTTTCAACCTGTATGTGGCTTTATTTTTCCTTAAGATTTGTGGGTGTAGCTTAGTGGTAGAGTGCTGGCCTAGAAAACCAACTTTGAACTACATGTGGTGACATAGCTCTATAATTGGAGGACTTGGGAGGTGGAGGCAAGAGGATCAGGAGTTCAAGGGTAGGCTCGGCTACTTAGTGAGTTTAAGATCTGCCTGGGCTACAGATACCCTGTCCAAAACAACCCAACCAAGCTTAAACAACAACAGAAAGAAACCAAAGTGCTTGCTGGGCATGGGGGCCACATGCCTGTGATTTCAGCATTGGGAGACAGAGGCAGGAAGACCATAAGCTTAAGGCCATACAACAGTCAATACCCCGTCAGAAAAAAGATGGCAACGAAGGAAAGAACCAACCTAGACCTTGACTTGGGACACAATAATAAACTTGAACTCGGTAGAAGCTGCCTGGCAATACTAGAAGGCTCTGAAAGGGAGTCAGTGTCTTTCTTTTTTTTTCTTGCTTCTCTAATTTGTTATCTTTCCCCCTAATATTTGCTGCTCTCTGTCTAACAACACACGCGCACACACACACACACACACACACACACACACACACACACACACTAGAATCTAAGGCAGGCTGGAAGAGAAAAGGCCAGTAGACTAAGGGAGCGGGCATTAGCATCCTAGGGAGGGGACAGTGAGAACCAAGGACTGGAGAGCTAATGGTCTGTCTGGATGTACGCCAGGCTGAGGCTTGGCCAGGGGCTTCCCCTGGCAGATGTTTGTGTTAGAGCGGGGGCCAGGCTAGAACTTCTCTCATCACTTCATCCTCAGTGCTCCATCCCTCGAGGCCCTTCATCACAGCCCTGGATTCTCCCAGCATGCCCCTTTGAAGTCTTGGGTTACTATCCTGCTGTGTATTTTTATCAGATGTCTCCTTTTATTAATGAGATAGAAATGAAAACATTAAAAATAAACGCAAAACAATTTATTCATTGACCTAGATACCACTAGTTAATTTATTATATGCATTTGAGGAGAGTGGGTCAGGAAACATTACCCAAACTGTTTCTATTTTAATTATTTTTTTGGGGGGTTAAGTTTTAAAAATATTACATGACATAAAACAAGACCTGTCAGGGTAACAGTTGATCTGATATGAAATGAGAGTATTTTACCACAAGTGGCCTGGTTTTCTTCAAGATTAAAGACTATTTTTAAACAGAGACTATTTTTTAAAGCATTTAAAATGTTATGGCTGAAGGAATCATGTGAAGTAGGCTCACACTTGTTGGATCAAAGCAAGTCACTTGTGATACATGATTAGATTTGCTTTTCCTTTTAGAATGCTCTTTCCCTAAATTTCAAGTATTGGTCTGCAGTTCCTGGGGGTGAAGTGAGGAACACTCTTGAATCAGGTAGAATTGGACAACATTACTATGAGTTTACTTACTTACAAATAAAGATTTCATGAGCTTGATGGTAGGGGACTTGCTTGGTGTGGCTAGGGCCCTGGCTTGCTCCATAGCAAAACAAAACAAAACCCAAAACATCCATAAGGTGGGAGCACTGCCTCACATAAGGTGGGAGCACTGCTTTGTGTGCTTGAGTCTCTGGTTTCGAACCCTAGTAACACATACAAATTCATTAAGACTAACTATTGAAAGAGACGTAATTAAAAGTTTTTCCCTGGTGAACGGAGTGTGGGACAGCCCCGTCCCTGGACTGTGAATCAGGTGTCAGATACTCTCCACACATGCAGAGATGGCACACAGACCTCTGCTGTCACATATAGGAAGTCATTTGCAAGGCTGTTTATTCTGGACACCTGTCACCAGCCTCTTGACAGAGGTGTGCTGTGCTTTAAAAAGAAAGTAGGGGAGGGAAGAGGCCCTTCTTTCTGAAGACATAGTCTCTAGATGGGGGGGGGGGAGTGGGTGCTGCCTTAGGGAAGGCCTGTGGGAGTTCACCCCCACCTTTTCAAGGGTCCTTATGAGGAGGAGAGAGAGATAAGAAAATATTAGATAGAAAGATAGTGAAAAGGAGAAAGACAGAGACACAGGATAGCTTTGGGAGGACCTGGATCAATACCCAATGGCCTTTTCCGTTCATTCTAAAGGACTTTTTATAACAATGCCAAGGGGCGGGGCAAAAGACCTCCCCCTTGCTAGATCAAAGGACACCTCACAACCAAGTGTAGACCCTTCCAAACAACTGGTAACCAGGCCTGTGGTCAAATCTCCTTATGCAGCCCTACTGGGTAAAACAAGCTCAGATTCTCTGACCCTAAGTAATTTGGGCCTCTATAAAGGCCAGAAATGTCATTGGTGTGTGAGGCAGAAAGTCTGCCCTTGTGCTCCTAAAGCCAAAATCATGACTACTTGTTACATCACTGTTTATCATGGCTCTTCTGGAGAACTTGACTTGGACTTTTAGGAGAAAGACTTTTTAGGAGAAACTCAGTGAAACTTCCCCTTTCTTTAGAATTCAACCATCTTTTGATGTTTCTAGGGTTTTTTTTTTGTATGTTTTTATTAGCATATCTTAATCCTGTGTAATAGTGGGATTCATACGTGTGAAGAAGAGATCATCTTCACCCCCTGATCCCGTCCCTCTCTCGGGTGCTGCTCCCACTTTTGTTGATTCCTGCTTGAATAGCCTCCCTCCTCCCTCCTCCCTCTCTCTCTCTCTCTCTCACTCACTCACTCACTCACTGTGTGTGTGTGTGTGTGTGTGTGTGTGTGTGTGTGTGTGTGCGCGCGCGCGCATCAGTGAGTTTTTTAAGTATGGTTACTTCAGGAGCGTGTATGAAGGGTTACTGAAGGAGCACAGGCACCTTAGCTATGGCCGCTCCAGTGAAGAAAAGGTCACCCCTCCTCCAGCAGGCCCTCAGGGAGGGTCCTGGACCTGGTGTGTCCTTCTCCCCGCATTGAATTCTCTAGGGCAGGGGAATTTGGTTGACAAGTAAAAGATCTCGATAGGGAAGTCTGGGAGAAAGTTGTTTGTGTTGGCAGATCTTTTAAGTATTTCCAATGTTGTGGAGTCAGTCCAGATGTGCACTGACTGGCCAGATGTCTGAGCAGCTGTCCTCGGTCTTTCCTTGGCATGTCTTACCCGGTGATAAGGATAAGCTTGTCCTCTGTTTGTAGGTGTAGGGATATTCAGCTTTGCGAGGTATGGCAAGGATTTCTACAGCTCCCGATATGAAGGCAAAGTGAGCAAGCCCCAGCGAACATCTTCCAATGACTATTCCGTTTTTGATAACTATTACAGTCCTGAGATCACTAGTATTTTGCTGTGGCGATCCTGTAAGGTAAGATGCTTGGAAAGTGGTTTTTTTTTTTTTTTTTTTTTTTTTTTTAAGATAGAGATTTTACTTTTCCAGGATTGTTTATAGGTTTCCCCTCTTAGAAATATGTGTTGAGAGCATGTTTGAAGGGCCCCATCAGCCAGGATGCTCATTAGCATCACTTGGTGTGCTCATTAGCATGCAAATCATTGCCCCTTTTCCAAGATCTACTGAATCTGTCTCTGGGATGATGGCGCCCACAATTTGAACTGCTAGGACCCTACTGGCCTAAAGCAAACTTACTATCCTCCCTCCTCAACCTCCCAAGTCCGGGGATGACAGGCATACACCATCACATTTTGACAGTCACAAATACAAACTCATTGTACTGTCATCTAGTGGGTAGGACCGACTCATGAGAGTTCCCACACATGGGATCAGCCAGCCAGCATATTAGCTGCCCCAAAGAGGAAGTAATGAAATGACCACTACTAATGTAGAAGATCTGGGCAGAATGACGTTTTGGTGATGATGGCCGTACTGGTTGGTTTTGTGTGCCAACTTGACACAAACGAGTCATCAGCTGAGGAAGTACCTCCTTAAGATTCAGCTGTAAGGCATTTTCTCATGTAGTGATCAATGGGGGGGGGGGGCAGCTCATGGTCAGTGGTGCCATCCCTGGGCTGCTGGTCCTGGGTTCTATAAGAAGGTGGGATGAGCAAGCCATGGGAAGCAAGCCAGTAAGCAGCTCCCCTCCATGGCCTCTGCATCAGCTCCTGCCTCTGGGATCCTGCTTTGTTTGAGTTCCTGTCCTGACTTCCTTTAGTGATGAACAGTAATGCTGAAGTGTAAGCCAAATAAACCCATTCCTCCCCAGCTTGCTCTTCGGTCATGGTATTTTGTTGCAGCAATAGAAACCCTAAGTAAGGCAATGGCAAAGGCGTTGATTCCTGTAATCTGTCTCTTGTGTAATTGCTAATGGTGGTACCATAAAGCAGTGACGTAACTGTCTTGCAGACTTTAACCCATGAGATTGGACACATATTTGGACTGCGGCACTGCCAGTGGCTTGCCTGCTTAATGCAAGGCTCCAATCACTTGGAAGAATCCGATCGGCGGCCTCTAAACCTTTGCCCTATCTGCTTACGCAAGCTGCAGGTTGCTATTGGCTTCAGTATTGTTGAGAGATACAAAGTAAGTGGGAGGGCCACGAAGGTAAGGGAAGTGGTGAGCTAAATAGCTAACGGTGCTTTCTCTTAGGTCTTTGAGAGCTATGATTTATCAGGAAATTAGGTAAAGATAAGCAGGAAACTGTGGTTAAAAAAAATGTAAAGAGGGCAGGCAAGATGACTCAGTGGGTAGATCCTTTGCTGCCTTGCCGCGAAAGCAGGAGGACCAGTGTCTGGGTCCCTAGCACCCACCTAAGTGCCCACCCGTAATCCCAGTGCGTGGGATGTGCAAACAGACTCCTAGAGGAAACTAGTTAGCCAGACTAGCAGACCAGCAAGCTTTGGGTTCATCAAGAGACCCTGCTTCAGTGCATAAGGAAAAGCACCTGAGGTCAACCTTGAGTCTGCACGTGCACACACTGAACACACACACTGTGAAAACCATGCAGAGAAATACCCGTTGTAAAACCTTCAGTTCAGGGTGGAAGAGACAGGACAGCTCTCTCAGTAACGGTGCTTCCTCCTCTAACCCCAACAACCAACCCCTGCAGTGTGAAGATGGAAGTCAGTCCCGGGAGCCCTTGATGCAAGGAGTAAACTGACTTCTGCCAGTTGTCCTCTGGCCTCTGTGTTCATGCCATGGCATGGATACCTCCCTCTCAACAATATAAATACGTTTCAAAAAAGACAAAAAGCTCTTGCATGGTTGGCTCACACCGATAATCCCAACACTCAGGAAGCTGAGGCAGAAGAATTGCTCTTAATTTGGATCCAGCCTGGGCTATAGGTTGAGACTGTCTAAAAAGGAACAAAAAAGAAGCTTCAGTTTGGGGCTGAAACAGTGGTTTAACCATGAAGAGCATCGGCTGTTCTTGCAGAGGACCTGAGTTTGGTTCCCATCCATACAGTGGCTTACAACCCCGTGTAATTCCAGTTCCAAGGGATCCATCCTCCTCGGGGCACCAGGAGTGTATGTGGAAGACAAAACACTCCTAAAGATAAATTTCAATTTGATAATGACTGTCTTTTTTTTTTTTTTTTTAAGATTTATTTATGTATGTATGTGCCCTCTGAGGCCAGAGGAACTTGTCTGATTCCATGGAGTTACAGGTATTTGTGAACCACCTGATGTGGGTGCTGGGATCCAAACTTGGGTCCACTGAAAGAGCAATAAATGCTCTTAACTACTGAGCCATCTCTCCATCCCAGATAATGACTGTTTTACAACTTAAAATTCAATGGGAAATGGTAAAAGGAATTTATCTGTTTCTTGTCCAGTTAGGTCAAGCAGGATTGACTCTACAAAGCAAAATGCATACTGATTTGTGTGGTGGAGCTCACTTTTATAAGCATATAACTGACTGTGTAATTGTAATTTTCCAAATACATGACAGACACAGGAGTCTGTTAGAAAAGAATGAATGTCTTTAAGGAGGAAGAGAGACGACTTCTGGTGTCCTTGTGCATACTCCAATACACATCCCGAGGTTACTCGTGGTCTGCCTGCTCATTCAGGGCAGCACTTGAATGTCTCCATCGTGTCTTCACATACATAGGCCTGCCCTTGCCTCAGGGTAGGGTTATGTTTATATGCACGGAAGCTAAAAGCACAGCACAGTGCCTTACAGAGTAAACACAGAGAAAAGAAATGGTAGTTATCTTGCTGTCCTAAATAGTGCACACATTAGTATAGTTCTTTTTCCTCTGCGTACTTTTTGTTGTAGTTGGGTTTTGTTTGTTTTTTGAGGTGGGGTGGAGTTCCATAAGGTAGCCCAGGCTGGTCTGGAATCCACTGTGTAACCCGAGGTGGCTGTGACCATGTAGCCGTCCTCCTCACTTGCCCTTTCTGAGTGTTGAGATTACAGACGTGCGGAACCACACCCAGCTCCTTGTAGACTTAGAGTTTTCAGTTATGTTCTCTGTGTTTGATCCATGCTCTTTCACTCGGTGTCACTCATGTCTTGTACTCAGAGCCCGCTCCATCAGATGCAGACCTTTCATGGGGGTCCCAACCACAGACTGAGAAAACCTGACTCCAATGCCAGTTACTGTGCCTGAGACTGTTCTGCTCTTATCTGTTACAATGCAATGTTTGTGTTTTTCAAGGCACTTCTGAGGTGGATTGATGAGGAATCTAACGACTTGTCACGAGCAACTCCGAGAAAGAGTTCTGACCATGTGAATTTGCAGAAACCTGTGGAAGCCTTTCAGGATTGGAGAGAATGGATAGTAAAATGCATTGCTGTTCTGGAAAAATAAGGACTTGGAGATAGGTGTAACTGAAACAAATACCGGCACACTAGGTGTTTGTGGCTAGAGTACTTCATTGGAGTAAACCTTCTACTGGTTCTATGCTGAGGCCAGGTAACAGACTAGAAGCTTCTTTGAAGCCCCTGGACCAGAATAAGGAACAAGGAAAGCCCGCTCTGCCTTTCTCTCTTGTCTCATTAGCCTGGTCTGTGGCGGTAAGCCCATCACTTCCTTGCTTCAAATTGGATTAGCTGAAGCTAGAAGGTAAATAAATAAAATAATTAAAAAAACACTTTAAAAATGACTGTGTGGCCCAAGGAATGAATGAACACTTTCCAGGGTTGCTTTTGCTCTGGAAGAGATGCTGCCCCTTGTGCGGCCCAGCTGAGTCACCAGGGCTGTGGCCTTGCAGGGGTTGGCACCCTTGCTGCCTGCCGTCTCCCCTTGGGACCCGTGGGTGCCCTTCTTTTTTTCCTGGCCATTTATGAGCCTGTCCCTGGAAGAAGCAGCAGCTACGTGAGTTCTTAGCAGTGAGAGCAGCAGTGGTCCTTGCCCACAGCAGCTGTTGATGAGTCATGTCGGAGGGCCTTTACGGATGACGTGTGTAACAGTGCTTGTATCTCTGTAGGTTGCACTCATTCTGTAGGGTTAGGTGAGATTGAAGTTTATGTTTTACGCACTTGATTGCATTGTGACAGGTTTGAGTAAGGAAGAGAGTGAATGGGTTACTTACCTGTCAGGATGCCCAGAATGCCTGTGGTCGGTCGCCTGTCAGCCTATGACATCAGCCACTTGCTGTGGTGGTGAGCCGGTCGACACCCTCAGGGTCAACAAATCTCTGTGATCAATGTATCCTGGACAACAAGAAACGACTGTTACTTCATGCTGGAGGACTGGTAGCTTGTCCTACTTTATCACCTATTTGTAGTATTGGTTTTTGTTTGTTTTGTTGTTGTTTTTCTCTGAGACAGGGTCTCTCCAGCTACCCCTGGCTGGCCTGGAACTTGATATATAGACAAGGCTAGCTTTGAACTCATAAAGATCCCCTGCTTCTGCCTCCCAAGAGCTGGGATTGAAAGGTGTGTGCCACCACACCTGGTAATCCTGGGGCTTGACCCAGGGCTTTGTGCATGCTTAGCACTCTACAGTTGAGTGACATCCCCAGTCCCAGTTTCCCACACTCCTATCTTTAAGGTAAGACTTGAATTCCTTCCTCCCTCTGTCTTTGATTTTCTTTTTCTTCTTTTCAAATGACGAGGTGGGGGCCGGGGTGAAGGACGACTGTAGGTGTCATTCCTCAGGCTGTCCAGTGAACTCGGGGACCTACCTGCCTGCTTCCTCACCCCCACCCCCATGGGTGCTGGGTATCACACTTGGGCCTCTGCCTCCATGGCAAGCACCTTACTGACTGAGCTATTTCCAGCTCTTTTTCCACTCAGAATCTAAATTCTTCCATTGTTGTAACTTATACAGTGTAATTAAAAGCACGCTTGACAACTAAACCAGTGGTTTTCCTCACACTCGCTTTCTTGGTTAAACTCCTTTTAACTCAGTTCTGAAAATGGCAGCCGTCACTGGCATCAGCTGGAGACGGTTCATGGTTGTTCAATACTGAAAAGCCAGATGGGTTTCACAGGTCTTGCGTATGAAGTTTAATTCTTCCTTGAATAATTAATTATCCCCCATTCTTCTACATTTTCTTTAATTTTCCTACCAGGTAAATGCAGTTCTCCGGTGGGTCAACGTTAGTCATAAACCTAGAATGGAGATTTGCCTAGGTTAAAAGATTGGGAATTACAATGATCTGGACAAGATAAAAAAGTCCATCTTAGCCTACTCTGCCAACGAGCCAGGAAGAACTTCTGGAAGAAATTACTGTTGATGAAAATGGGACTGAACAACTAAAATTCACACACCAAACATTAAGCAGTCTTCATTTGAATGCTGTGAAAACATTAGATTGTATATACCTTTGGAGAATTTTAGGATTAACTATGATTGGGGACTGGTGAGCGGGCTCAGCAGGTGAGGGCAGCTGCCATCAAGCCTGGGGACTCGGTCTGACTCCTGGGTCTGACTCCTGGGACCCACATGACGGAAGGAGAGGGTTAGCTGTCCAAGATGTCCTCTGACTCAGTGATGCTGCGGCCTATGTGCACCCAGGAAAAACTGAGACACAGATTGAGGGATGTGTGTCATTTACTGTTCCTGGAGCTCGGTGGTGTTTTTTTTTTCTTTCTTTTTTTTCCCTAGCAAGCATACACTCTACCCTAGCCAGAACTTCAAGCAGGTTTTGCTCTGCACATGCTAAATAAACATGAAGTTAAATTACTGATGAGAATAATTTCCTAATGTCTAAATACTGCCTTAGAAATAAGTGAGTTTGAAACGTTTTATGTCATCTGTCCTATTCTTTGGCTTCAACACTTAAACCTTCAAAGGATATTTTGCGCGCACGCACGCGCGCGCACACACACACACACACACACACACACACACACACACACACACACCAAGCAATGGATCAAATGTTGACATTTCAGTCCATGAAAACTTAATAGAGACAGCCGAACAGGAGTAAGGGCAAGGATTTTTGTCCAGTTTGTACTTATTCCTTTATTATTTCATTCCTATTGGTTCTGTGGGACCAAGTCTCAGTATGTAGTTCAGGCTGGCCTTGATCTGGCGTCCTTCTGCCTCTCCAGGGCTGGCATCACAAGCGTGCCCCGGGCTTGCTTTTCGAAGCAAACATTTCCTTGACACAGGGCTATGACTCATCCCAACCCCCTGGAGGAAGAGAGGCCCGGATTGTTGGTTGTTTCCTCTCCGAAGCCCCAGTGATAAAATCCAAGCAGGCAGCGGGCGGGACTGCTATAGCCGTCCGATCAGGCCCTTCCCCGCCCGGCAGGAAGCGCGTCGCTGTCTCCAGCTGTGCCCAGAGCCATCCCTGACGGACAGCTGGTGGCCGGCGACACCTGTGACCGCCCCCGGAGGAGAGTGGAGCCGGCAGCTCGGCCTGCAGGGCGTCAGGAACCCAGGTAAACTACCACACCCTGGCACAGCACTTCGGGGAGGTCCCGGCCACCCGACTCCGACAACCCGGCCTTGGATGGTCTGGATGGCATGGCACCTGAGTCGTGGGTGGAATCAGTTCTACTTCAGAGCACTTGCAAAACTCTTCTGCCAAGAGCTTGAATATCCGGTTGGGGGTGTAGCCCGGTGGTAGTCCTGCATACAAATTCATGGGTTCATTCCCCCAGCACCGCCAAAACAGCAACAGCAACAAAAACCAATTAGTGTTAGTCGCCTTCTGGATTCTTTTCTCTGGAGCGACTCTGCCCCCTAGAAAACCACCACGAGCCACACACATAATTTTAAGTTGTCCAGTAGACCTTGTGACAAATGGAAAAAGAAACATTTATTCCGGTGCCACCAAAATGCCATCTCAACACGTTATCACTGTAGGGGTCGAGAGAGATTTTATATTCATTTGCTGGCCAAGTCCTAAAACCTCATCTGCCATCTCAACTCTGGCTGGCTGCCCCATGTGACTGTGGTATTGTGTTGGACAGCGCAGCAGCTCTGGACTGATGCTACCCCAGCGTCTACCTGGGAAGATGTACATTTAAGACCGAGGCAGCGGTAGACCGAGGCTGAGCTGGGGACCCTGCCCTGCAGGTCAGGGTGCTGCAGCTGAATGTGGTACAGGAGGGTCTCTGCCTCACAGTCCAGGTGGCGCTCGTGAGGAATTTTCCCCCCATCCTTCCTTCCTTCCTTCCTTCCTTCCTTCCTTCCTTCCTTCCTTCCTTCCTTCCTTCCTTCCTTCCTTCCTGATTTTGTTTGAGACGGGGTCTCACCATGTAGCCTAGAACTGGACTCAAACTCACTATGTAGTCCTAAGCTGGCCTCAAATTTAGGCCAATCCTCCTGCCTTAACCCCCTAGAACTGGGATCGCTGGCATTCACTACCATTCCTGACTTGCACATTTTTTTTAGACCTTCCTCTTATTGCCAAGGGCCTGAGGGATATATTTCAGTTTGGGAAAGCAGAGTTGTGAAGTTATACATGAGAGATTGTTTGGTCTTAAACTGTGGATAGTAACCCCACGTGGGCTCCTATAACTGAGTGTTGGGAGTACAAAAAAATTGGTAACTAAGAAAGGTTTCCAGATGTGCAATTAGGAATGGAGTGATGGCTCAGTGGTTAGGAACACCGGCTGCTCTTGCAGGGGACCTGAGTTTGGTTCCCAGCACCCCATATGGTAGCCTATAACTATCTGTAACTCCAGTTCCAGGGCATCCGGTGCCCTATTTTGTCCTCTGTGGTTACTGCATTCATATGTTACACATAAACAGATGCAGGCAAAATGCTAATACACTTTAAAATCTTTAAAAGTGCAATGACCAAAAAATGAATTCAAAATCAAATGTATATGAGGTGTTCCTAGCAGGGCATATCTGTGTCACACTGCAGATTCACTGCATCCCTGAGTCTAAGCACACAGCACACACACTGCACATGGCATCATAGCACACAGCACACACACTGCACATGGCATCATATCACACATCTCCAGTGAAAAATGACCCAAATTCCTCAGCTGAGATCCCAGGCTATCCTATGTAAAAGTTGCGGTGTTTTAGTGTGTATACAAGGTCTTCTGCTCCAATAGAAACATTATGGTTTAATTGTAGAAAACATTTAATATTTTTCTATAGTCATTTATCAGCATGTATTGTTAGTATAGTTTAGATTTTCTTATGTTAAACGTTTCCTTCTAGAAGTTTATATTTGAGTTGCTGACTTCAGTTTCATTTAAACAAAATTCGTATGATGAATTTGGCTTGAGATCAGGACAGAATTTCTAACAACTTCTCAAGTTGCCTTGAATATACGTCTACCACTTTGTGCTGTGTTTTTATGAGAAGAGGCATTTTCGGCACTGAAGATTTAAAACATTCAAATACATGAGCTGTGGAAAATGTTAAAGATGCTGTGTGTCTTGCATTATCAGACACTAAGCCATGATTTAATCCCCCTCAAGTGTGTGTGTGTGTGTGTGTGTGTGTGTGTGTGTGTGTCCTGGGGATCAAACTCAGGCCTTTATGCATGGTAAGTTTTCTACCACAGCTCCACCCCCAGTCCAAAAGTTAATTCTTTATGTAAAAAGAAACAACTACATCCATCTCATTAGGATTCAAGTTTGCTTTCATCTTTAAGAAATGTTTTTAGGGGAATTTATGATTTGTTACCAGTAAATGTTTGACCTGAATACCTGTTTGGTATACTTTCATACCTGGGTCACAAAAATTTCTCAAGCCAAGAAAAGGGGTCACAAGTGGCAAAGTTTAAGATGCCCTGATCTAGCGCATGTGGAGATAAGCCTGTAACGGCCAAGTGAACGTGTGACATTTAAACCAGTGGCAAAAGCTGGACACGATTCAGGTTGTTCTAAGGTCAAGTTCTGTGTTGCTTTCAGATGTGACTTCGTGCAAGTAAAATACCAGTGGTGAGAAAATAAGCCTCTGATTTCCAGGTTGTTTATAAAGGGGTTCTGGGGCTAAGTTCTCTTTCAGCTTCCTTTCTAATCCAGAAGGGGCCGTCTGGGGTGGGTAAAGAATCGGAAGAATCAGTCTGTGGAAAAAGAGGTGGCGTGTCAGGGAAGCACTTGCTATTAACTGAGCCATTTAGAAAGGAAACTGGGCTGGTGAGACGGCTCAGCGCGTGAAGGTGCTTGTGGCCAAGCCTGATGTCCTAGATTTGATCCCTGGGTTATCATCCTCTGGCTTCTGTCTGTGCACTGTAGTACATCACACACACACACACACACACACACACACACACACACACACAGAGTAATAATAATAATAAAGAACCATCACACACATGAAGTGAATTATGGACTATAAAGATCCCTCAGTGATAGAGTGCATGTTTAACATTTGTGAAGCCCGGGGTTCATCCCCAGCACCACATAAAAGAGGAGAATGAAAAACATCGAAGCTGTATTTCATTTGTTTCTCTGCAGTGCTGGAGATTGAGGCCAGGCCTTTGGGTATGCCAGGAAAGTGTTCTACCACTGAGCCACACACCCAGATCAATAATTGTACATTGCAAAAATGGCTAGTGGAAAGGACTTGGAATGTTGGCAACACAAAGACATAAAAAATGTCTGGGATGCCGGGTGATGGTGGTACCCACCTTTAATCCCAGCACTCGGGAGGCAGAGGCAGTCGGATCTCTGTGAGTTCGAGGCCAGCCTGGTTCTACGGAGCAAGATCAAGGACAGCCAGGGCTACACAGAGAAACCTTATCTTGAAAAACAACAAAAGCAATCAAACAAACAAACAAACAAAAAAGAAATGCCCGGGATGATAGATATACCAATTACTTTGGTTTGACCTCACTGCTTGCTGTATACATGTACTAAAACGTCACACTGGGCTCTGTAACTGTGTACAGTTTCCATGTGTCAATATCTACTGGGCTCCAGGCATGGGTGTCCACACCTGTAACCCCAGGATTTGTGAAGCTACAGCTACAGAATGGTGAATTTAAGGATAGATGGAACTATTATACAGAAAGCTCCAGGTCAGCTTGGGCTACCTGGCTGTGGGTAGAAGGTGGGAGGAGGCACACAGACATAGGAAGCAGACTAAGTTAAAACAAAATGTGCATGGGTAATGTATTAATCTCACAGCCCTCCATTTGCATGCCTGCTTAGCACTCATTTCTTCCATCTGCTGCCTTTAGTCTCTGCTCAGGGATCAATCAGTGTTTGGTCCTTATAGCCAACACACTATATACACTTACTATGTACTCTATATACACACGCTATACTCTTACTATATACTATATATACTATATGCACTCTGCTGGGTGCTTTGAGCCCCATCTTCAGGTTTTGGAACAGCAGTGGTTTCTGTGTACAATGCTCTCAGCTCCCTGTGACCCACCAAGCTCTTTGAAGTAGCACCAGACTCTTGAGCTATCATTGTATATAGACACCAGTTTTCAAAACTTGTGTAACAAAGGAGTTTGTCAGTGAAGAATAACAAAATATATTCATTTGCGTGTTTAATCTCTTAATATTTTAATACCAGGTGCTATGTGCTAGGACTTGCCAAATCCTTCCTGATATATATGGTAGTGAAGAAAAATCTCCCTTAATTTTCTAGACAAAGACAGAATCATGAAGTAAATCAGGGCTTTTATAGCTTAGAATCAGAGTAAAGGAACAGAAGCAAATTCATTTGGACTTGGGGATTGAGATACATTCTCAAACAGTCCAAGAAGGCTTGAACTTGCTATAGCCAAGGATGACCTTGAACTCTGGATCCTACATATATGTGCCACCACATCTGGTTTTATGCAGTAAATCTGAGCTTCCTGCTTGCTAGATGATCCCTCTATTAATTGAGCTATGTCCCCCAGCCCCAAATATTCTTTTGGATAGGACAGTTAGAAATGAATCCATAAGGCTGGCATTTAGGAATAAGCAAATTAAAAGGATATATCATATGCACATTGAATGGAGGGGTGTACCGGGCACAGACAACCTCGAGTTGAACTGTAAGAACTGACAGGGGCTGGAGAGATGGCTCGGTGGACACATGGCCGCTCCAGGACCAGAGAATCTGACTCCCTCTTCTGGCCTCTGCAGGCACTGCATGCCTGTGGTGCACAGACATACAAGCAGGCCAAACACCCATAGGGGTGGGGGGATCAGTTAGAGGTCAGCAGAGTTGGACCAAGGGGGAAAGTAATAGCATCATGTGGTTCCTCTAGGGTCCATACTTGAAGAGCTGTGGTTGGTTGTGCTTTATCACCACGGCTGCTATGTGGGAATTTCAGGAGGTGTCAGTCTGTATCTGGAAGATTGTTATTATAATACAGTTGTGATATCACACTTGTATCAAAGAGAGAAGCAGAGATGAGAATACAGTTAGATCCTGGATATATTTAGAAAGTAGAGACAGGTGTCAGGGCACAAGCCTATAATCCCAGCACTTAAGAGATGGAGGCAGGAGGATCAAT